GAATAGAAGGTGGATAAAACTAATCGATAGTAAAATTGCCCCTTTGGATATCAATTGCTGACTTCTCTCTTCATCTCTTTTCCTGTTAGTTTATCCAATTTAAGCTGTAATTCCATTTGGCAGGGGCCACTGTCATTTTTTAGATTTGTTTCAAACTCTAAAAAGGGCTTGTAACTGAAATGGAAAATAAATGTTCCCTTTATTTTTAACCTCAAAACTTTTCAGGTCCTCCTTTTCCACCCTCATTACTGTATCTTGATTTGAAATACTATTCTTCTGATTATGCTTTTACATTGGTCATGCATGGTCCTTTTCTAGATCATACTCTTAGACCTACCAGAAAAATTAAATGTAGCCATAGATGAGCCACTCATCTTCCTTGTTTGGGGGGTGAAAATAGTTTTGAGAGGAAGAATAAGTAAAACTAAGTTTATAATAACTATTTGAAGCTGTCTTTTTTGGTTTGCCTCCTTCTACATGAAGAAAGTCCACAGAAGATACTGTGTCATGCCTTAGGTCCACATACATTATAAAAGTGATAAGTATGTGACCATGAATGAACAAGTGGAATATTGCTTTGGATTTAGTTTTGCTTTCTCTAGTACAATGCATATACCAGCCCACAGAATTCTCCTTTACATTTTAACATTAAATATCCAGGGCAGGGTTAGCTTAGCCTCAAATGGATTCTGAGTGAAATCTGACTTCATTAATATACACTTGGGTAATTTTTTGTTGTTGTTGGTCATTATGGTTCTACATGTATCAGAACCAGTTCTGAAGTAAACACATCTAATGGTAAAATTAAAATGAAAATGTCTGCCTAAAAGTTTCAGAAATATGCATTTTCACATATTCTCCCAAAATTTTAGAACTGAATGGAACCTTAAGAAATATTTTATAAACCTTTTTCACCTTCAAAATGAAGAAAGGAAGGCCTACAAATAGGGAACAAAAGGTTCAAGATCATACCTAGAGGCTAAGTTAGGGGTAGATCCAATTTTCTCACTTCCAGTTGAGTTCTTTGCCTATATTGCTTTGTACTTAAAACAAAACAAAACAAAAAAAGAGGATATTTAAATAATTCTAATTAATATTATGCACCCCAAAAAGATCTTAATGGAATTAATGCTTTCCTTTGAGGGATGGTAATGGTAATATTTTATACAGGAAAACAAACAGCTGTTATATTATAAATCACTTGAAAAAGAAAATATGGGTTAATATATTAAATGGATTGTTTCTGACTGTTTGATTAATTGATGTAGTCTTACCTAGCGTAGCTAAGATTATCAAATTACTGTGACAAAGATGGAAGGGAAGTTGGAGACTTAATTAAAACTGTATCTGATCTAGTGTTTGATTTCCAGAGTACTTGAGTACTTTCAGTTGCTGTAGTTCAAAGGAAGAAATAAGATGCTATCAGTAAATACTAGCATATTGGATAAATATGATGTGACCACATCGTCATGTGTCATTCTAGAAATCTAGAAACTAGATTTCTATCAGTATTTTGATTGGTATAAAGTCAATTAATAAATAAAAAGTAAAAATTTACTTAGTTGTAAATACATTTTACATCTACTTTTGAGAACTGTGGCTACAGTGAGGAAAACCAATTATGGAAAGTGTATATCTGTAAGAGGGAGAAGTGGACTAAATCGTTATTTTAAGGGCTTTCCCCAGAATCTTTAATTTCCTGTATTCTTTCTCCTGCCAAGTTTATCTCTTTGCTCCTTAATGAAACTATACTTTTCAGACTGGCATGACTATCTTTTTCATCCCTTTTTTAACTTATGGTCATTACCTCCTTTGTTTAAAATCATAGGCCTTTTCTCATTTTCTCTTTTTCTTCCTTTTTTAAATGAAACATTTTTCTAAATTATCAGCTAGAATGGCTTCTAAACTTAATTTAGGTGGAAATACGTTTTTCTTTACTTCTCTGGTGACTCAATTTCATCACTCCCAGATTTAAAGAATGAAAGTGGTCGATACATAAGACAAATGGTAAAGTCAGGGGAGAAAAATGCCTTCATAAAAAGCAGAAAACCAAAATAATAAAGAAATATACAGATTGAATAAACAAATTATTGGTTATCATTGCAAGTTAATATATCCATAATAACCTAACCCGAAACAAGGAGACTCATCTCATACCTCACAGACTATTTGAAATCTAGAGATACACCCCAGCGAAGAAAATTATGAGCAAAGAGAAGGGATCTCTGTGGTGTCACGACAGAAATGTCACAGAAAACAAGAAATAAAATTTGGGTCTGTATTTCCCAAATCCATGTGTTCCTTTAACGTTTTCAGATTGACAATCTTAGTAACAAGAAAGTCATAAAGGATCTCTTGCTTTGTTGAAAATTTGCTCAATGATTTGAGTTTTGAAATTCTGCTTACATTTATATGTTATCTGTTGTAATATTTGAGGGTAGTTTTACTTTGTCACTATGATTCAATTAACCACATCTCTCTCACCAAAAAAAAAAAAAAAAAAAAAAAAAAAAAAAAAAGTAGTGATGAATTAAACAATTTGCACTTTAAAAAGTAACACATTTTCTTCTGTATTAACAAAGCCAGTCTATTTGGCTTCAAAAACAACATTTGGAAGGGCACACATTAAAATCTGGTGTTTGCTGCTGTCTATTACCAGAAGCAAGGTGGCTCCCAGAGTGACACAAAACAGGATGGGCCCAGTGAGGTCCGTTTCATTCATAATGCTGCCATCTGCTGGCTTCAGTGGGTTTAACACGGTCAAAGTTTTTTGCCATATGTGATTAAAATTAATTCCAAGTTCTGCAAAAAGAAAAAAAAAGAGGTACTATAACATTTTGTAAATATGAATAATATTATTTAATTAAATTTAACATATCTGATTAATTTACTTAGCACTTTGATCGTTGTATTTTCAAAATCTAAAGTTCTATGTCATATATAGTAATTCAAAAACAAAAATAACAAAAAAAGATTTTTTTTGTTCCCAATGAGTTAAAAGATATATTTTAGATAAATAATTACATCACAGAAAAAATTTCCCTGCCTTATGCACTAAATATAAGCTTAAAGTCTGAATATTGCGAAACAGATGTTCTACAGTAAAAAAAATAAAATGGTAGCTAACAGACCAAAGGTCCTATTCTATTGCCTATTTACATATTTCCTTTTTCCCTATTTTCCCTTGATAATACTTCTGAAATCATATCATGCTTATACCAAACATGGTATAATTTTTCAATTAGCAGCATTATCTAAACTAAAGATATTTAGCCCAGATCTGGGATTTTACTTCCACCCTGCCTGATGAGAAGAGTAATTCTACGCTAACTGCCTAAAACTCCACAGAGGAGAAAGTGGAATGACTCCTTCTTGCACCCATATTTTAATAAGGTCAGTGCTATTGTGGTGGAGTTTATGTACTCACGGATTAAATTCTTGAGACAAGTTAACCTTTCCCTTTTATGAGTGGTGGTGGTAGAATAAAATATCCAAAATCTGTGGGGCTCAGTGTCCATAAGTCCAAACTCATTTAGAAATATCTATTTTTCCCCAATACCTTGTTTTCAAATAATTCTGACTGCCACCTCACAGACTCTTCTGCTAGATCCTGATTCTCTTACATCATTTTTATTTAAAAAACAAAACAAAATAAATCCACCCAGCCATTAGACATTCACTGAATACAGAAATAAATATTTACACCACATTAGTTTCTTTTCTCATCACCTCTATAAACTTTAAGATGTATCCTGAGTAGAAAAAAAAAAAAAAAAAAAAAAAAAAAAAACCATTATAAAAGGAGAAGAACATGGCTTTACTATTTAAGAACCAATAATCAAGCTGGTTACCCTGCTTGTATCATTATAAATTTGAATAAGAATAAGACTGGGACCCAGAAAAACTAGAAATAAAATACAGTAAAGAACATGCATTTCAACTAAAAAGAGTTATTTTTTTTTTTTTTATTGAATGCTTTCACTGAATTTTGCTGTGAGCTGTACAAGATTTGTACACATTGGTCTCTCAGACATGTAATGAAGCTAGTACTATTATTTTATTCCTATTTTGTGTATCAGGTAGCTGAGGTTTTGAAATATTAAGTAATTTGTCCAAAGCCACAGAGCTAGTAACAGAAATCTAGGTTTTAACAATGAAGAATCTGACTCAAGACCCCATGCTTTCCTCCCTAAAACAAGCAATCTAATTAAAAACTTGGCAGAGGATCTGAATAGACATTTTTCCTAAGAGGACATGCATGCAAATGGCCAACAGGTACATGACAAGGTGCTCAATATCACTAACCACCAGGGAAATTCAAATTAAAGCCACAAAAAGGTATCACCTAACACCTATTATCTATTTGATAATAGAATGCTATTATCAGAAAGATTAGAAATAACACGTGTTTGTGAGGATGTGGGGAAAAGGGAACCCTTCTGCATTGTTGGTGGGAATGTAGATTCATGCAGCCACTGTGGAAAACAGTATGGAGGTTCCTCAACAATTTAAAAAAAAAGGAAAATAGGGCTCTGGCGTTTCCACTGCTCCCACTGTGGCTGCTCACCAGGCCAGGCTGGCCACAGGTCTACCTACAGCTGGAGGGCACAGGCTCCTGGAGGCAGTGGCTACAGCAAGGAGCCCAGTGGATACATCCCCAGGGCAGCAATGCATGGCAGAGAGAGGCTATGACCTGAACACTGAACCTGGCCATTTTAAACAAAGAAAAAAGAAAAAAGAAAAAAAAAATAGAACTACCATTTGATCCAGCAATCCCACTTCTGGATATATATCCAAAGGCAATGATAACAGTATCTCAAAGAGATCTATGCTCCCATGATCAATGCAACATTTTTCACAATACCCAAGATATGGACACAATCTAAGTGTCCGTCAATGGATGAATGGATAGATCTGTCATACATATGATCATACGTGATACATACATACAACGGAATATCCATTTATGAGAAAGAAGGAAACCCTGCCATTTGCAACAACATAGATGGGCCTTGAGGGCATTATGACAAAGACAAATACTGTACAGAATCACTTATATGTGGATTCTAAAATCAAGGAGAAAAGAAGTCAAATGCATAGAAACAGAGTAGAAAAGTGGTTGCTAGGGGCTGAGGGTGGGAAAAATAGGAAGAGACTGGTATAAAGGCAAGTGCACATGCCTGCCCACACACACATACCACATACAAAACAAACAAACAAAAAACAAAAGCCAAAAAAAAAAAAACCTTTAGTTTTGATAATATAGCTATGGTTCTCAATGTGCATCTCATTTCATAATAGCTGTATTTTTTTTAATTAAGTTCAATTCTCCCATGTGAAGGATTCTCTCCCTAAATCATCTGTACATGGCATTCAACTTCCCTTCCTAGGATTTAGTAACTGTCTTTGATCACATATAGGGCATAGTTCAACTTCTTTTACAGCAGCACATAACACCTAACATGTTGCATATCTGACATTCTATACACAGAATACCAGATGGACTTTTAATGACTTCCATGACATAAGAGGGGTCTTGCTCTAACAGGGACCTAGACATTTTCAAAAGGTTGGCCAGACATTGGTCTACACTGGGATAATAAGGATATTTTTTCACTCATTTGACAGTCAGGTTGACAGTTGCTATCCCTAGTTTGAAAAGAATTTGACTGGTTAATGGTGAGTAAATCATGTGCGTTTCAACTTCCATGTTGCATCCTTTTTGCTATCACACTGTTATTTATATATTTCTTAATGAACATACACTTTGGAGAAGATGAGCTTAAAATGAGGTTAGAATGTCTACTATGATTTTTTAAATTAGCAGATTTTAAAATTTGAGAAATATTATAATTTAAATTAATTTCATCTAAGCCTTATGTTGTTTTCAAACTATATTTTCAATTAAGACATTTATGTTAGCAATATGTTTTCAGTATTTACAACAAAGTGCCCTTTAATTCAAAATACCTTTTCTTCCTCAAAAAGCATAACAATTATTCCTGAGGAAACTCCGATGAAAAATGCTTTATGAGACATTATTACTGATTTTAGACATTTATTTTATGGCATAATTAACTTCTGCACATGTTTCAACATCGAGTCATTAACCCAGTGAATGAACATAAGACCTGCTACATTCTGTCATACCAAAAAAGAGTTTATGTGTTTTCTACCAAAATATAACATTTTGTTTCCCCATAACATTTTGTTTCCAAATTTATTTCAATGTATGCAAATGAGATTATAAGTATTTATTAATTGTAGATATCCTAATATAATACCTTGTTATACAGATAAAAGATGAAGCTGTTGTGAAATTTGAATGTAAAGTTTATTGTTTTGCTGTCATCTAGTGGTAGTAAAGTATATGATATATATGCTATAAAAATGAATTAATATCTTTGTTTTGTATGCAAATTGTGGCACTGGCCTTTCAAATATAAACATCAGGCTGTGCTACATATATAAGTACCGAATATCACAGTAATTCTTCTGGTTTGACAGACTTGAATTGACTATTACTCTTCGAGATACATTTGTTAACATATTAATTGTACATTATCAAATTGCAAAAGTTATCATTCTTACATAAAACCACCAAATGAGTCTTTTAGATAACAAAGTATTTAAGGAATAAACAAGCACATTTTCAAATAACATATTTTGTGCAAGGGTTGTTAATTATTATAGTTTCATAATGTAATAGGCTGTTTTGGTGTATGCTCAATAAAAACTAGCGAACACCATTTATCACCTTATCCTAGAAACCCTGCCTAGGGTTTTTACATATCTTTGAGACAGATGAAGCTGAAAGCTTTCAGTCACCCAGCCTGAGGAACATATTGAATCAGAGTCTAGAAATTTCACAGATTCAAAATGCCGAATTATATTAGGTGCAATCTCTTCTAATACCCTAGCAATTCGGTGGGGAAAATCACAAAAAGAAAAAAAAAATCTAAGAATTTTCTCTAAGCTGCATAAGGTGGGAGGGGAAATCTAGGGTATTTCCTATTTTAATTTGAGAAGACAAAAAGGAAGGATGCATTAGAGTTTAGAATACCACAATAGATACATTTAGACAAGTAGAAAAGATTATTTTCAATGAATGGTATAGGAAAAATTGGTTAATCATTAAAGAAAAAATAAGGCTGAATCCTACTTCACATACAAACATAAAATAATTTTTATTGAATCAAAAATTTAGGTGCAAAACAAAAAAGATCATTAAAAAAATTAAGAATATACAAGAGGATACAAACAGTACTCAGAGCTGGAGAAACACATTATAAACAAAAGAGCAATCAGAAAGAAAATTTACCAAGAAAAATATTGTGGACTTGAAAACATAAATATTAAAATTCCAGTATGCTTTAATTTCCTATTAGCAAATTAGATGGCAAACACCATCTAGGAAAAAAAAAAATGTTTGCAACACATATTCCAGGCAATCATTAAATATCCTTAACATACAAATATCCCAAGGGGCACCTGGGTGGCTCAGTCAGTTAAGCATCCAACTTCGGTTCAGGTCATGATCTTGCAGTCCGTGAGTTTGAGCCCCGCTTAGGGCTCTGTGCTGACAGCTCAGAGCCTGGAGCCTGCCTTGGATTCTGTGTCTCCCCTGGCACCCCGCCTCTCTCCGCCCCTCCCCCACTCGTGCTGGGTCTCACTCTGTCTCAACAATAAATGTTAAAAAATGTTTTTAAATAATAAAAAAATAAAAATAATAAAAACATGCAAATATCCCTATAAATAAACAAGGAAAGGAAAAATCTTAAGATTCCAATAAGAAATCTGACAACATGAAAAACAGGAAGAACAGTCAATAAACATGGAAAAACATGTCTAACATTTCTAGTAACTAAGAACTACAAAGCACTCCTTTTTGCCCATCAAATTAACTAAGACATCTCATGTTCTATGATGATGGTGTAGTAGGTGATCCTTTTTCTAGATCAGTTTGACAATGTAAGTACCTTTTGATCCAGTAATCCTAGTTACGGAACCAATCCAAGGACTACTCTGTAGAGGTCAAAGTTATTCACTATGGTGTTCAACAAAGCCTTATTTACTATAATGAGCAACCTTTAGGTGGGTTTAAATTATAGTACTTTTATATGACAAAATATTATTAAGCCATTCTAAATCATATTTTGAAGTAATATTCAATGACTTTAAAGAATGCATGTAGAGAAATGCTTTTGATATAAGATAACTTTAAAAAGTACAAAACTTTATGGGGCACCTGGGTGGCTCAGCCAGTTAAGTGTCCGACTTTGGCTCAGGTTATAAACTTGCGGTTTGTGAGTTCAAGCCCTGTGTCAGGCTCTGTGCTGACAGCTCAGAACCTGGAGCCTGCTTCGGATTCTGTGTCTCCCTCTCTGTCTGCCCCTCATCGGTTTGCATTCTGTCTCTCTCTCAAAAATAAATAAACATTTAAAAAAGTACAAAACTTTATAGCCATTGTATGATCTAACTTTCATTTTTGAGTATTCATAAATACATATTCAAAAATATAGCATTTCACTTTAAGCATATATACTTAAATATATACATACATACGTAAAATATTTACATATATGCATTTTAATTTTTTTTAATGTTTCATTTATTCTTGAGAGAGAGAGAGAAAGCACAAGTGGGGAAGGGCAGAGCGAGAGAGGGACACAGAATCAGAAGCAGGCTCCAGGCTCTGAGCTGTCAGCACAGAGCCCAATACCGGGCTCGAACTCACAAGCCGTGAGATCATGACCTCAGCCGAAGTTGGACGCTTTACTGACTGAGCCATCTAGGCGCCCCATACATAAATGCATTTTATACACACACACACACACACTCAGAAAAATAGAATAAAGGCTGGAAGAAAATACATCAAATCATTAATGGTAGTTATGTCATACAGACAAAATTTTAGGTGGTTCTCATAATTTTATTCATATGTTTCTGTATTTTTAAAATTTCTATGTTGAATATAGATAACTTTTATAACAACACAACTGATAGTTTTTTTTTTTTTTTAAGTAGATATGTTGGTGGAATCAAAGAAAATGTGTAATGAGGATAGCTTATAACTTTCATGTGTTGATTACTATTTCAGAGGCAAACTAGAATGAATTGGTTAAACATAACTGATTCCCAAATCTAACTGGCTTCTAAAGAGCCAACAATGGGGCGCCTGGGTGGCGCAGTCGGTTAAGCGTCCGACTTCAGCCAGGTCACGATCTCGCGGTCCGTGAGTTCGAGCCCCGCGTCAGGCTCTGGGCTGGTGGCTCAGAGCCTGGAGCCTGTTTCCGATTCTGTGTCTCCCTCTCTCTCTGCTCCTCCCCCGTTCATGCTCTGTCTCTCTCTGTCCCCAAAATAAATAAAAACGTTGAAAAAAAAATTAAAAAAAAAAATAAAGAGCCAACAAAACTATTACATAATTTTCTGTGCTTTTCTTTTAAAACTTCTAATTTTAATGTTTAATTTTGAGAGAGAGAGACAGAGGCGAGTGGGGTAGGGGCAGAGCGAGAGGGAGAAACAGAATCTAAAGCAGGCTCCAGGTTCTGAGCTGTCAGCATAGAGCCCAACGCAGGGCCTGAACCCATGAACCACGAGACCATGACCTGAGTGGAAGTCGGATGCCCAACTGACTGAGCCACCTATGTGCCCCTATGCTTTTCTAAGTGGTTTAAATCTTTCACCCTTTTTGAATTTTGAAGACAAAGAGGGAATGCTTTAATGCCAAGTGGTTGGCTGTGTTTATACGAGACAAACACTTATCTTTTGATGTAAAATATTGGGAATTTTAATTTATCCCTTTTCACTTGACTACATATAAAGGGGTTAGAGCATAATAGTTAACCTATTAGTATTTCCTTGTGGTTAAATTTAAATCTACTTGAGTTTTAGTTTTCTAGCCTCTATGCTTCTAGCATATGTTGATTTTCTTCAAGGGCAAAAAGCAGCAGATGTAGTGTGGCTGAACCAAAAAAAAAAAAAAAAAAAATCAATGGCTGGAACATCCCTTGAAATCCCTGAGACCTTCAACTGCAAGGGTCCACTGGTTTCCTGCCATGAACAGTGCTATTTACTGGAATCCTATTCCTCCCCACTTAGCCATACCTAGCTGAGATGAGGGGACTCATATGACCCAGGAAAGAAGAAAAATGGGTTGTATCCATGACAATAAAAGAATATTGAGAAACTACCCCCTTGGCTCCCAGGCATCATAGCAGAAGATACAAGTTAACTGGGGTGGAAAGGGTCATTGCTATAACCACTCTGCTAAAAGACATGTTCACTATTGTCTACACATGGTAAGGGAGTCTACACTCTAACACACTGAAGAAACATTTAATAACAGCAGTAATAGTGTGGCAATAGTACAGATCTACTTCCAGTTCACCCCCCCTCCACACACACACGAGACAAACTTTTAACGGTTTAAGCACCTTTGTTTGGCAGACTCTTGTTTAAACATGGGATAATCACACATAAAACACAGTATACAGCATGCTGACAGTGCACATTATGTGCTGATTATTGCTATTATTCTTCTAGCTGTACACACATTAATAGCATTCCCTTAACTTATCTTCTAGCAAAGGAGGCTCTTCATCAAAACTGTCAATGTAAGAAGATTGTGAATAATAATCCGGGTTGGATGCTGCCTGAAAAAATTGTCCCTCGTAACCCGATGACATGAGCATCTCTTGTGGGACAAAGGCAGCCTGGGGTTGCTCACTGGATTGCTGTCTAGAGAAAGGAGAATACTGATTTATATATATACAGAGAGTGTATCATGACAAATCACTGAAGGAAGCTACAATTTTTCTTCTATGAGTTCTCCTAATTTTTATGAGTACTTACCCATGAAAGACAGAACTTGCTTAAAATTTAACTTTCATAAAAACAAATGAAGTAACCGGTCGTGAGAAGGTTCTAGAAGAAAGATCCCCATACCAACAAATATTTATTGATTATGTACAAGTGCTGGACACTTTCCCTCACATTTTCCCACATAATTAATACTCTGTAAGGTAGAAATTGTAACTTTAATCCCATTTTACGGGTAAAGAAATAGAGGTTCATGGAGACTGAAGGACTTGTCCATGGTCACACAGCAGCACTGCTGGTGTTGGACTCCTAAATGAAACTGTCCCAGCATCTCTGCCCATTGATACGATGTTGTTTTTTCACTTTGTTCAGGGGCAATCACCAAACATGACATTTCCTACAAATCTGTGGAAGCAATGGGTAAAATTCACAATTTTAATGGTATAGTCAATTCATATGAAAAAACAAATATATAAACTGACTTTCTAGCTCTGGCCATTCCCAGACAATTACTGCCAACTGAATTATCTTTGAATAACTCACTAAAAGGATTCTATGGCTGGGTTAATGTCCTTCTTTCCAAATGTGCAATTTAGTTTTGTTGAAACATCATGTTTCAATACTTCTTTGACCATGCTTTTGTTTTTTATTTCACCATTTGTGTGAGAAAGTTGGAAAACAATGCTCTTAGTACATAACTTACTAGAGCTAGAGAAAAGAAGGAAGGGAAAAAGAGTTATATGAGGTTATTTGATCATTTAAAATTGTTTTTACCTGAAGGAAGGGGGAGACACATAAAGAGCTGTCCTTATTAACATGTTTAAGTTTCTTTCATCAGAGTCCCTTAGGTTAAGCTAAAAATACAGCCCAGGATTCTGAACTTTGCAGCTCCCTGATCTCTTTGTGTTAAAATATTTACAGAATGGATTTTGGTACTTTCCTTCCAACATTAATCTTAATATGAAGTCTAAGAATAACATATTTAACTTTCCTTATACGAGTAAGTCTGACAGAGATAATAACTTTCTCTGGGGGAAAAAAAAAAGCTGCCAAAATAAAGATACATGCATTTAATCATTCGTTAACTCAGCTGTAAGCTCCTTAGGGCCAGGACCTCGTGCAATACTTCTCGAATCCCCAACAGCATATGTTGATTACTGTTACTGTTCACTTAGCCACGAGGCATATTCTTAATCTTTTTTTTTTTTTCTTTTCTCACCAAAATAGATGCACTATCAAAATTACTGGCAAAGGGGTGCCCGTCTGGCTCAGTGGGTTAAGCAGCGACTGATTTTGGCTCAGGTCATTATCTCACGGTTTGTGAGATCCGTGCTGTGTCCACATGGAGCCTCTTTGGGATTCTCTCTCCCTCTCTCTCTGCCCCTCTCCTGCTCACATGTGTGCTCTCTCAAAATAAAGAAACTTTTTTTTAAAGTACTGGTAGAAATGAATTATAATAATCTGAAGGGCATGCTGGTTGATGAAAGCCCCCCTTGATCTATACAGTTTTTAATGTAGAATAAAAGGGGAAAATAGAGTGGACTTAATGGACCAGCATCTAACCAAGATTATTTCACTGACAAACTGTCCTGGCCTCACTAAAACCCATACCCAGGTGTGATTAACCAGGCTTGAGGAAAGGTAACTTTTACAATTACTCCCTGGAAAGTAATCTCCATGAATGGGGGGAAATTTGGCATAGGTGGCTGGCTACCTTGACCCAATCCCTGCAAAGAGAAAAACATTTTGCCAAAAAAAAAAAAAAAAAAAAAAAAAAAAAAAAAAAAGAGCCCATTACCACCTAAATCCCATCCCCTTTTTTTTTCCTCCCTCTCTGCTCCTTCATCCAGAAAATTTCTTCATCAGGAGCTTGGCCTCTGTTGTCCTTGGCGTAATACTAAAATTTTCCCACCACTTGTTTAAGAAAGTATAATTTCAAAATATGTCCTACAAAGGAAACCTCAAAACCTTTTATCTAACAAAAATTACCATAGTCACCTCCTATCACTATCTGATTTAAAATTCTCTCTTTTTATAACTTCGTACATGTTGACTCTGAGATTTAACCCTACATCTCAATAAAATCTAAGCGATACCAATATAGTTGCATTATTAGTTCACAGTTCTACCCAACAAACTCGTACATAACCCAATTCTCATGCCCTTTTTCTTAAAATTGCTAATTTTATTTAACCATACATCCTTTTTTATTATTTTATTTTAATTCCATAGTTAACATAGTGTTATATTAATTTCATGTAACCATATAGTGTATACTACAGTGACTCAACAACTCTATACATTACTCAGTGCTCATCATAAGTGTACTCTTAATCATATATATTGAATGTACACTTAATCCCACATTTTCTAGCATTATCCTTTTATATTAGATGGTGCTAACTCTGATGGCTATGCTAACAAAATTCTCATATTTTCAGTGACATCTTTGAAGCCTACAGTATCCTTTCATGAAAGTCATTCAAGGAGAATGGACTGGACAATTTCCTAATTGCTTTATTAAGCCCATAGCACTGAATTATTAACCTATTAAAGGCAATTGCATGAGTTAAATTAGTGTAACCAATAGTTAAGACGGTAAGGGTCTATCCTATCTACAGTCCATATAGCAATGGGAGTTGTGCAGAGTGTATCAACAAAATATTCCTCTTCTCCTTGATTACACAGCATCTTAATTAGCTCTATGAGAAGATGCATATTGAAATTTTGATGATTTCTAACTCAGCACATTATTCCAGATGAAACAAATGTCAACTAAATTAGACCAAGAAAACACTGGACTCCAGCTGGTAGAGTTTAAACATTAACTTTGTTAGCAGGCATCTCTTCTTCCTGTAAAAATAAATACTTAAATAAAAAGTTAAAACAACTGTCAGATGACTGCAAAAAAATCCCTTTAGAACCACTGGCAACATTCTAGTCACATGACTCTTCTTTTGCTTCCTGACTGCATGGGATTACATTTCTCTTGCAGAAATAATCTAATGATAGAATTTATTCCAAACCAAGTAGAGTGGTTAGCAAACATGCCTCTGGAGTAAAATCCTGTGTTCAAGTCCCAGTCTCCTTATCTTAGGAAAATTACGTCACATCTGTGCCTCAGTTTTCTCATCTGTAAAATGAGCATAATAATAGAACTCATGGTACAAAGTAGTAGTTACCAGAGGGGAGGAGGTTGGGGGATGGGCAAAATAGGTGATGGGGATTCAAACCTACAAACTTCCAGTTATAAAATAAATAAGTCACGGGAATGACAAGTAAAGCATGGGGAATATACTCATTAACATTGTAAGAACACATGGTAACAGATGGTAACTACACTTATCCTGATGAGCATACTTTAATGTATAGAATTATCTAATCACTGCATTGTACACCTCAAACTAATACAACATTGTATGCCAATTATACCTCAAAAAGTATGAACCAATTAAGAAGCAATTTAAAAAAAAAATTAGTCAATACCAAAGCTGAACAGGGCTCAATGTTCTTCTACCAATATACCCAAGCCATAAAAAAAAGTGCTGTATAATAGAATAATAATAATAATGGAACTCATAAGGTTATTGTGAATTAAATTAGCTGAAATAAGTAAAGCATTTAGAATAATATTGGGCACCTAAAACATGATCAATAAGCATTAGCTAAGTATTTGTATGCTGTTTTCTTCCTGAGGCTTACACTAAAGCATTCTAGACTCCTTCCACACATCCTGGAACAGCTCCTTCTCTATTTGTAAATAGTTGTGTCTTTCTCAAAGAAAACAACATTAATAGGAGGCCAGGAGGCTTTCTGTGCTAATCACCTTTAGCTTTTCACCATTTTGGCTTCCTTGGAACACCCAAACTGACTTCACCAACACCCCACCAGTCTTGTGTTTTCCTACCAGGAGAATCTCCACTACATGCATGCCAAGACATCTGTCTCTAAGCAATAAAGCAATGGCCACACACCTGGTCTATATAAAAATCCTCTGTATCTTCACCATCTCTTCAGTAATTCCTTTTTCACCACCCATACCTGGGTTTATAAACTTCCAACTAGTCTCCAGATGGATGATGTCATGTTAAGGCATGGTCTCCAGCTGGGGAAAATATTTTACCTCTGAGGAAACAGGACTTAACATTCACCTTGCAATGTAAAAATAGAAGATCATTGGTAAAATATTGAGTAAGGGGTGCTTGGTTGCTCAGCCGGTTGAACGTCCAACTTTGGCTCAGGACATGGTCTTGTGGTTCATGGGATCAAGCCCCACATCAGGCTCTGTGCTGACAGCTCAGAGCCTGGAGCCTGCTTCAGATTCTGTGTCTTCCTTTCTCTCTACCCCTCCCCTTCTCACACTCTGTTTCTCTCTCTCAAAAAAAAAAAATACATTAAAAAAAAGACTCAGTAATAATTTCTTGTGATTCCAGCAATATGTTTTCTGCGTCCTGTTACACAGTCACTAGCTACGTATTTTACTAAGTTTCATTTTTCCAAAACTGTAGGTATGGACTTCATTACAACAGTCATCTGAGCTGCTTTCCTTTGTCAGTCTGATCCAGAAGGCATGTAGATGTTGAGCTAACTCCCAGTGCCATATGGAGAGTTAGAGTATAAATCAGGTGGTAAAAAATGTATCAACAGGTAAGTACAATTCATTGGAAGTCTAACTGCACATTTAACTAATATTCAGGTATGGGTATATTTCATAGAGCCAGATGACACAGCATGCTTCCAAAGACCTGAGACAATGAAGGTTTCAGAATTTGTAATACTATCACCTGAAATAGCCTGAGACAACAATATGACAGATCTACAATGAAAATACCCTGCTGGTTTAAAAAAAAAACAAAAAAACAAAAAAAAACATTGGTCTGTACTCCCAGAATCATTTTATCTATGTAAGTCTCCAGTTGAACCAGTAAAATGAGGCATTCTAAATACCCTTGGTAAGAACAGGGGCACCTGGGTGGCTCAGTCGGTTAACTGTCCAACTCTTGGTTTCGGTTCAGTTCATGATCTCATGGCTTCGTGGGTTTGAGCCCCTCATTGGGCTCTCACTGGCAGTGTGGAGCCGGCTTGGGATTCTCTCTCTCTGGCCCTCCCCCACTTGCAATGTTTCTGTCTTTCTCAAAATAGATAAATAAACTAACTAACTAACTAACTAAACAAACAAATAATCTCGGTCAGTACAAAATATACAGGATCAGTTGGATGGTGGTGTGGTTTAAGGAATGGGGGCAGGGGAGTCGACTTATACCATATTCCCGGATTCTGGCTGAGCTGTTGGGTGCACAGTGACTTTGTGCCACCAGCGGTACCACTAACTATGTTAGAGATACTAGAGGAAGATCAGGTCTGGGGATTCAGAAAAGCTGAGGTTCAGTCCATCTGTTAAAGCCCTACTAAAACATTCAGAGGGAGTTGTCTAGTTGTCACCTTTTCCGCAGAAGTAGCTCTTTCTTGCTCTAAATAATTTGAATAGATTTTCTATTAAAAAAAAAAAAAAAAGAAAAATATAGTGGGAAAATATGGCCTAGATAACTGGTGAGAGGTGATTGGAAACAATGCCTATCTGAATGATTAAATAGTTTAAAATATATATTTTTTAATGTTTACTTATTTTTGAGAGAGAGAGCATGAGTGTGGGAGGGGCAGAGAGAAGGGGAGACACAGAATCTGAAGCAGGCTCCAGACTCTGAGCTGTCAGCACAGAGCCCGATGTGGGGCTTGAACTCACGAACCTTGAGATCATGACCTGAGCCGAAGTCGGAGATTTAACTGACTGAGCCACTCAGGCGCCCCTGACTGAATAGTTTTTTAAGATGAGAAAACTCCTTGTTCATTCTCAAATAAGAAACTTTGTTTTAAATACAAATATCTTTATTGTCTTAGTAAGCATAGTCAACCAGCTTTCAGATGAGTATGCCATTGAGCAAGCTTTTTAAAACAAGTTTCCATTAATGGGGGCAGGGGTGAACAGAGACAGATAGAAGGAGACTAACTGATTATAGCTATCCCCTGGATTCCTGTGTCTTTTGCCAGGATGGTCAGCATCTTTACTGTGATTTGGGGTGTATTTTAATTGAACAATTCACTGTATGAATAAAAGATCAAATCTCTGGAGTTTGATGTACACTAGTAAGTCGCTGACTTGACTCCATATTTTATGTACCTCATAAAACTACCATACCTAATATGCCCTTTTCTAATTCCTGAGACTTGCAGTGTGGACTGGAATTTAAATGTTACTGCAGCCAAATCAAGACTTGGATTTAAATGCTAAGCAACTGAAGCAGGCCAGGCCATCAACCTAATACAATATAATCTTGAGTTTTCTCATGTGGTTATGTTAATTTCCATCTCTTTGTCATCTTGATTTCTGGGCAATGTTGACATATGTAATCAAATGAAGAAAGAAAATTGGGTGGTGTTGGCGGGAAGAAAGCTGTGGTCCATGAGTCCCTGCATAAGGAGAAAGCTTTGTTTCACTTTTATCGGACTTTTTAGTTTAGTCTGAAAATGTAGACTGTAGATACTACCCAGGTGTTTTATTCCAACTGGAGAAGAGAAAGGAGAAAATAAACAGAAGGTGACTCGTTTCTGTCACTAAAATAGGAGAACACAGCAGAAAAATCCTATCAGATGGCTCTCACTGTGGATTATGTATTTTGAGTTACCATCCTATAATACTTTAATGTTCAAGCTACTCCCTCTGCCTGATTAACACTTTTCTGACACCAAACACTTTTTCTTGGCCTTCCAAAGTGTAAATCATAAATTAAATAAAATCAAGTTATTTTTTGTAGATTCTGCAATGATAGAGCCAATTCTATAGCTTTATTCTTTTGTCCTTTTTTTCTTATAAATATTTTTTTAAATATCCTAATTTGCCTAATGAGAATATTCACAGAGAGAGAAGGAGGGAGGGAGTGGTATAGATTGGTTTTCATTTTAAGGAATGCTTAACCTGACTGAAGCTGGATAACATAGAATAGGGATGTGAATGAGATAAAACTCCAGATATTAAACTTCAACAGTTTTAAAAACATTTTATACCAATACCTTTCCCTATTGCCTTAGAGAAGTGGTTCAGCAGGAGTAGGTAGAAAACAGCACCTATCTGTCTGTCTTCAGGACTGATCATCTAGTGGAAACAATTTCTAAGTTGTTCTGGGCATACCCACTGTCTGTTGTATTTATTCTATCTTTTCCTCCTTCATCTGGATCTTTCATGATACTTATCTGCTTTTAGAAAAATACACTCAAGAATTAATAAACTAAAGATATTTCTTATGAGGTTATATTTGGCCTAAACTTGCTGGAATGAAACAGTGACCACATATCCCAGTTCACCTAAGATGGTCCAGTTTTAATCCCATTGTACCACAATTATTATTAATGGCATGCATTTTACTCTTAAAAATGTCTTGATTTTATAATAAATTGTGTGCCCACCTTAGTTATGGGTCTAATCGATAACCTTGGACTAAAATCCAAACCCTATTTCTTACTAGTTGTGTGACCTTGGAAAAGTTCCTGGATTTCTCTGGGTCCTTGTTTTCTCATAAGTAAAACAGGGTAAAAATAAGTAAAGTGGGGAAAAATCAAAGCACTCATCTCAGGATTGTTTGGAGATCCAATAAGCTAACTCATGTACAGTTCACAACAGTACCTAACACACAGTAAGAGTTCAATAACTTTTAAGTATCTTGAAAGTTGAAAGGTCTGACGCCTCTCACAATTCCCTAATCTAGACTCACAAAAGAACATCCAAAGAAGCAACTGTAAAAACAAATACAATAAGATTAAATGACTTTAGACAATAAAGTGTCCATTGATGTGACAAGCTATAGTCACAGAAAAAACTAATATTTATTTTATGGTTCTACCATACAACACAATTTCCTACACATTATCACAACTCTTCTTCATGATAATTCCATGAAATAGGTATTATTAATGCCCTTATTTCTCAGTTTAAGATACTCAGGGAAGTTAAAGTGTTTCCCAATATCACAAAGAACAAAGGCTAGAGCCAAAACTTGAAACAAATTCTTCTTACTCTAAATGCTCTTGCCCTATTTACCTTAGTAAGGGTAAATACTAAATTCTTAGTCTTTTTAATTTTCAACTCAAGTTAAACCGTCAACTCAAATAACTAACACATTCTGAAATATGTGTATTTTAATTCCATTTAAGAGCTTTCACACTGTATTATAATTGCATATTTAATTGCCCTCTCTACAACATAAATTCCTAAATTTTATGAGGGAAAAGATTATGGACTTTTTTTTTTTTTTTTAATCTTTGGGTCTGTAGCATCCTTCTTAATTCCTAACACACAAGCAGGCACTTGATACACGTTTATTAATTAAATAAAATCTACTTCTTGATCAGTGTCCCAGAAAATATCATGTAAAATGAAAATTGTTTTCTGTTCTGTCCAGGGCCTGTATTCAGGCTCCCTGTTAAGTGATATTTTGAAAACAGGAGACAAACCACCCACCTATAAATGGGCCTGCAGTGAAGTGAATTAATTTCCCTGACCTTTCCTGGCATTTCTTCTCGGGTATTTTACCGAGATATGCTGGAGAGAGCTTTGGCTTTCCCCAAGGAAGCCCTCCCTTGTTAAAATATTATGACTTCTTAAAGTGAAAGCATACTTACTGTCTAGATCCATAAAGATTTCCATAGGCATTAGAATCTTCAGAACTCTGGTCCTGATTATCAATAGTATAATTAGATTGGTAAAAATCAGAGTCAAATTGTCCCAAGTGTGACATCCTGAAAAATAAGAATGTTTTTTACAGGGAATTTTGAGTCTGTAAAATTTCTTTTGAGATATTTAGCAAGGATTAACTGATGATGTTATTATGGCTGGATTCCTATTAGAGAGTAACATATTCTTTGGATGGGTTAAATTAAGTATTGGGGAAGGGGGTAGAAATGTATTTAGAAAGTCATTTAAAAATGTGTATCTTCAATGAACTTTTCTGAATTTTTTTTTTCCACTCACTAGGACTCTGACTTCGACCAAACTGACTTTGATGTGAAAGAACTAGCATTTTTCATCAAATTCTTCATTCTTAGCAATTTAAAAGAAAAAGTTTTAAAATTGGTATACATCTAGATTTTCTCTTAAACAATGTTAGTTCCTCATTTTAAATGCATGCAACCATGTTGTAAAGCCAGAAAACAAATGACTGATAATTCTATTTGAGTTTCATTTTCCTTAGAGTTTTGAAGTGTGTTAATAGCCTTCCCAACCCAACTGCCAAACAAACAAACAACAAAACACCCAAATCCTACAAACCAGTTTCCTAGTTCTGCTTTCCAATTCCTTAAATGTATTTGGAACATTTTTTCTTTTTCTTCTGCCTTTCCTGCTACTCCTAGGCTTCTGGCTGAGCAAAAGGGAGAAAGGCTCAGTTCTGCTAAGGGAGGAGTCTATCTTTCTATACACGCTTTCTATATAGTTTCCACTCACTTAGGGAGCAAAGTAGAGTGTGTGATCTTGATTTAGACCGAATGGCTAGAAATACCAGAGGGAGGAAGAAAGACTTGAAAGGAGAAAAAGGTGGGGAAGAAAGCAATAGCAAAGTAATAGTGGCTCTTTGGATAAAAACTACAGAATGAAGAATCTTTTCCAGTGGACAGATAGGGTTATTCAACTCAACATTTTAATCTTTATTTTTCTTTGAAAAACATTTTATTTCAAGGAGTGAATTTAAATATCAGGAGGAGCAATCCACAGAATATAATAACTTATAGAATACTGCTATTAATAAGTTTTGAATGAAATTGTATAAACAGCCTTAGCTCTAAAGGGCTTCATTACTCACAAATATTCAAGTAATTGTCAAATACATCAAATTGTTTTCAGTTTGGTAGCAATACAGAAAGCTTTTCTAAAATTAGATGTAGCAATTCATACATCTGACTTCATATATCAAAATTTTTCATTAGTAATGTGTATAAAAGTAGCTATGAATTATGTAAACCAAAATCAAGACTAGAAGAATATTAAATCTTTTAACAACTTATAATTTAAAGGTCTAAAAATTTAATAGCATAACTTTCTCAGTCCATGAAAACAAGTTATTATGCAGCATAGAGAGTAATTTCATAGGAGAATACACTAAGGTTTCCTAACATGCAACACTTTATGTAACATGACTATTGGTATTGGAGTCCTTATGTAACTCAGCTTCGTATTTTGTTTAAATGCCAAGTTTTTCAGAAGGATTAGACACATACCTTTGTATTGTTTATGTCAAGAGGTCTTCCAGGCAACGTAGTTTCACTTGAGAAATTTGTAACAAATCAGTTCGTGAAATGATGACCCTCTGGCTCTCTATAGGTTTCTAAATTTGTACTCTGACACTCTGAGCAGGTGCTACAGCCAAAAAAAAAAAAAAAAAAAAAAAAAAAAAAAAAAAAAAAAAAAAAAGCCTGCCAAGGCCAAACACAGTATCCAGTATCTTATAGAACTTGTTAAAGTTTACAAACACAGTGAATGGTATAGGGACATACAATTTGATAAAGTGAAAAGGTAGATTCAATTTTCCTGTGTACATGTGCCATCAAACTCTGATTTAAGATCATTAATTTGAGGCAAACAAGAGGCTGTAATAATCCTCCTGCTTCATGGCCTATATAACACGTTTAACCTAGTCACGATTTCCTAATGATAAGCAGTAAAAATCAATACATGCTACATACCTTAACTAGCAATCTTAGCAACAATCGGAAAATGGGGTGTTGTCAATTTTATCCACATCTGAACCAATTTATATAAGCAACATTTAGGAAAGCTCCCTGTAATCTGATTTCTTCCCTCTCTCTTACTTCTCCAGCAGAGCCCATCATGGATATACTAATGTGATCCAGTAGTGCTTATTTGCAGGGCATGTTCTGAGCCAATCCTGACCATTTCTGAGCCAATCCTGACCATTTCTGAGCCAATCCTGACCACTGGAAAGCATCAGACCCATTTCCATCCCGAGAAGCTACCTGGGTTGGTTCCCTCTATGTCTGCAGGTCATATCCAGGAACCTTCTCCTTAGTTCTGACCCAGGTAACCTGGCTAATACTCCCCAATTCTATCTGGACCTGGTGGTTTTGTTTCTAATATCAACTTCATGGCTGGAGGTCAAGTTCGTTTACGATCTGCTTCATGCTGATTTCTCTTTTTAGGACTGAGACTTCACATGTATCTAGACCTCAGTAACTGAAATCTGGTGTTCAAGGGTGAATATATTTGGCAGTTAGAAATTTTCAACTAGAGCCAAAGGCAAGAATGGTAAATAAATAATTTTTCCCCACACTATTTTAAAACATTCGGAGTTTGAATTTCTCTGATCAGAGCTGCCCTTTACTAGGTCTCTACTAGGTAACAGTAGCTCACACATTTATTGAGGATCTACTCTTTAATGCCAGACTGTGTTCCAGATGTCATACAGAAGTGGACAGACTAGACTCTGTATTTTAAAGAGATATAGTTTAGTATAGATTCTACTGTATCTGCAATAAATAAAAATGACTAGCAAGGCGTTGTTCTATGAACTTTAGCTTTAAATCATTTAGGTCTTGCAACGAGCTTATGAAGTATTATTATCCCATTTTAGAGGAAAAGAAATAGACATTAAATACCTTTCCTGGGTGGAAGCTAGCAGGTGGAAGAGCCAATGTTTGAAACCTGTTATGCTAAGCTCAGAGCCCACATTATTATCCAAGATAATTTCAGGAATCAACTGAACTCTATCAAGAAGTTAGCATATGCCATTAAGATGGAAAGTGCAAAGGGGAGAGGATTCGGTATTCAGTGAAGGCATCTTGAAAAGGTCATTTGGATTGAGACTTGGTTGTTAAGAAAGAAGCCATTTGAAAGACTATGTGAAGAGGATTTAAAGCAAATTCTCTGAGGTGGCAAGGAATTTTGCAGTTTGTGGTTTAGAAAGTGAGCCAGGTGGTAGTCATTTTGAATTAGAGAAAAGTTGAAGGAGATGGAACGAAGACAGTGGCATAGGCAGAGGCCAGATCATAGAGGACATGGTAAGGAGTCTAGATTGTATTAAACTTGAAGTGGAATGCCACTGCAGGATTTTAGGCAATGGGATGATATGATCTGTTTTTGCAGAAATTGTTTAGGAGGATGTTGTGGCAGTAACACAGGCATGAGGCACAGGTGGCTTGGACTAGGACAGCAGTGGGCACGGGAGAAACTGATAGAAGATTCTTGGCAGCTGAGGGAAGGATGAATTGGAGGGGCCAAGGGTGAAGCAGGCATGTAAGTAAGTTCATTCTGGGGAAATGATAAGCTGTTCTAAGTGGATAAGGTCCCAGGGAGCTAGGACTGAACAGGTTGAAAAGATGTGGAAAGATTTGTTAGGGTTCAACTTCTACTGAAAAGGAGGGGAAAGAGAGGGACAATTGTTGAAGATGATTTCTGACATCAGAATTCTGACAGCTTCCTCGTACTAATGTATTAATGTCATAGGAAAAGGCCAAATTGTTATATAGTAGCCAAATTTAGATCATCATGCTTTCTATTCCTTCTTTCAAAGTTCTTTGTGTGAGAACGCAAGTTCCCTCCTGTAACAGCAAGGACTCAGAGTGTATTCTTTTTTCTGACATATAAATTCACTGACAAGTTTACCAAAGATAACATTTTCAATTTTAGTCCATTTAAATTTTAAACTTATTATGTGATTTTGTGCTTTTCAAGTTAGTTTTCCTTCATGAAAAACCAGCTGATTAAATGAACTGCAGAAATACATAGACCAAAAATGGCATATAAAAATGAAATTAATCTAAGCCTCAAGTGAACTATAAGCCATGAAACATTTATAAACCAAATGACTTCATTCTCCTGGTAACTGCATTAATGAACCATTAATACATATGCCAGAATACTGTGAAGCTACTCTTATAAATGTAACATTGTATGTGCATAAAATATGCATTTAAAATTTTTTCCATTAATGAATCATCTAATATATAGAGTATTTGTATATATACATACATATCTCCAATACAGAGAGAGAAAGCTTATTTTATTTTTTATTTATTTCTTAATGTTTATTTATTTTTGAGAGAGAGAGGGAGAGAGAGAGAGAGAGAGACAGAGAATCCAAAATGAGCTCTGTGTTGACAGCAGAGAGCCCAATATGGGGCTCGAACTCACAAACTGTGAGATCATGACCTAAGCCAAAGTCATATGCTTAACCGACTGAGCCATCCAGATGCCCAGAGAGAACATTTAAATCAATATTATAAATAGTCACAGTTTCATCAGTTAATTATTTTAATTCAACTACTTAAGTAATTATTTCTGGGTTCTGAGTGATCAAAAAAATGGGATAATATGAAAAAAGTTCTTACCTGATGCAAAGAGCACTATGTTCTGCTTGCAATTATTTTCCTTTCCTTTCCTCTTTTCCCATTCTCTCTCCCTCCATCCTTCCCTCCCTTTCCTCTCTTCTCTCTCTAAACTCTCTCCTAAGGTGATCTTATCCATTTCCTTGGCCCTATACATCATCTCTGTATAGACAGTTCCTGAAGTCATACACAGCGCTCACAGCCCCAGACCATTTGTTATCTCATAGCCATAACCGATTTTAGCCAAACTCGTTTTTAAAAATCTCTACACTCCCCAACTGAATACTCTCTCCTCCATTCCAAGAAATGGAATTGCAAACCATTTACTCACTTAACTCTGAAATCATCTAATTCTTCAATGAATGCTACAGATTCTACCTCTAAAATATGTCTTCCACTAACC